GGAGGCACATCTCCAACTTCCAGAATGAGCTGGAAGGACTGGAGCTATGGGAGGTGGGGAGAGAAACAAGAACACTAGGAGGTTTTTGTTGCTTTTGTTTTGAAAACAGGATTTCTTGACTCACATCCTTTAATCCTGGCACTTGGGAGGCAGAAGCAGGCGAATGCTCTTCCCCTACAAGAGCATCTAGTGCTGCTACCCTTGAGCCATCACTTTGGCCCCTATTCTTGTTGTTGTTTTCCAGACAGGGTTTCTCTGTGTAGCCTTGGCTGTCCTGGAACTCCTTTTGTAGACCAGGCTGGCCTCAAACAGAGAGATCCACCTGCCCCTGTGTCCTGAAAGCTGGGGTTAAAGGTGTGCGCTGTCCCTGGCTGACACTTGCCTTCTTAGGATGGCATACCAGAGAGGACAGTGAGACACATAACTTGGAGTTTGCAGAGGGTCACTCTCAAATGTTCAGGGTACAAAATGTTCCCCAAGGCCAGGGAAAGAAGCCCCCCAAAAAATCTAAGGGGGCAGAACTAGAAAGGAATTTTCAACCTAATAAATTGAAGCCATGAAAAGCCTGCAACATCCTATTTCATGGTGAAAAACCAATGGTTTCCCCTTAAAATAAGAAACAAGACAAGACTTATGTGTTTTCACCATTTCCAGCCAAAGCACTTAAACAAGAAAATAAAAGGTACCGAGGTGAGAACAAGAGCAATAAAACAATTCTACTCATTGGCACTATGCTCATTTACTCAGAAGAGTCAATGGAATCTTTTAAAAGCTACAGAAATTAGTGAGTTTAGCAAGGATGAAGTAAAAATCAATACATGAGAATAAACTGTAACTCTTAGCACTCAGAGAGGCAGAAGTAGATGCAGTCGGATCTCTGTGAGTTTGAGGCCAGCCCTGTCTACAAAGCGAGTCCAGGACAGCCAAGGCTACAGGGAGCAATCCTGTCTCAAAAAACAAAACAAAAACAAAGCCATGAATGGGTGTTATGCATGCCTGTGCACTTTTCACCATGTGCACGCCTAGTTCCTAAAAAGGCCAGAAGAGGGCAGCCAATCACTGGAATTGAAATTACAGACAGCTGTGCGCTGCTATGTGGGTGCTGGGAATTGAGCCTGTGTCCTTTGGAAGAGCCCCCAATGCTCTTAACTCTTCAGCTCCAAACCCAATTTCTTAGTAAAACCACCTCTGACAACTACTTTTAAGTTCAAAATCCCTATCTAGTTCTTGCTTTTCTCTACAGAGCCTACAGAAAATGGAAGTTTTTATATTTACTTTTATCCTTTTTAATTATTTCTTTTGAGATTATAATTACATCATTTCCCTTTTCCCTTTCCTTCCTCCAAACCACATACTTCTCCTTGCTCTCTTTCTTTCACATTTGTGGCCTCTTCTTTCGTTGTTGTTGTTTTTTTTACATACATTATGTTTAAGTATATTTTCTCTATTACATTATTTACTTGTTTATTGTTTTTTTTCGGGACAGCGTTTCTCTGTGTAGCCCTGGCACTCATCTGTAGATCAGGCTGGCCTCGAACTCAGGATTCTGCCTGCCTATGCCTCCTAAGTGCTGGGACTAAAGGTCTGTGCCACCACCTTACTCCAATAGCCTGCTTCTAGGTTGCCCAACAATCTCCTGCTGCTGCCAGGTGTGTGACAGATAAAAAGGACCCATTTGCCACCCTTCAGTCTCTTAGTTCTCTTCTCTTACTCTCTTTGTCTTTTTCTCAGTCATGGGCGTCCTCCTCCCTCCCTTCCCCCACAATAACTTCTCCTCCTCCTTCTCCTCTTCTTCTGTTTGTTTGCTTGCTTTTCGAGACAAGGTTTCTGCCTCCTTAGCCCTGGGATTAAAGGCATGCCCCACAACGCCCACTTCCATTATTTCTTATTCTTTAGCGGGAGTCTCAAAGGCCAGGAGAGGGTATCGGATTCTCTGGAACTGCAGTTACAGAGGGTTATGTGTGGCCATGTGGATAGCGAGAATCAAATTAGGGTCCTCTAGATTCTGCTGAGCCCTTAAATTGTAAACCCCCTTAACATTTTTGTGTATGCTGTGTGTATGCAAGTCCTGCAGAGGCCATAGGGGGCGCTGGGTCCCCCGGAGCTGCAGTTAAAAGCCGAGCACCCCAATGTGGGTACCGAGAACCAAAGGCTGGTCCTCTGAAGGAGCAACACGAGCCTTTAATAGCTGGGCATCTCTTTAGGCCCATGGCTTTTGCTTTTAGACACAAAACTTTTCAGAATGCAATTCAGTGCTAGTAAGTTTCGTTGTTTTTCTGCTTTTTTGCGAAGACCGCCCCACTCTCCATCATCTTCCCAGTATGTTCCACGGATCCAGCCCAAGTTTGTGTGCAACACTAAGACCCGGAGGTGCGGGGCCCAATGCAAAGAGGAAGCTCGCTCATCACGCTAAGCCGTGAGGGAGCGTCGGCACACGTGTAACCACAACTACAGAGCCCAGCCGAAAAGCCCATTACTTGAATGAGGGACCACTCTACCGCTCAGGAGGGCTGAGACGCGTGCGCACGCATTTGCCCAGCAACACCACAGGCCGGAGCCTGATTGGCTGACGCGGGGAACGTGGGGTGGGATCACGCACGCGCGCCTTCTAGCGCGTGAGCACGCTCTCGCGCGCGTTGCTCTTGGGCCTTCATTCTTTCTGTAGAACCATTTTTTTTTTTTTTTTTAAATCTCAGTTCGCAATGTTCCCGGAACTCAATAACCTTCTCAGCACCGCCCCAGACAGGACCGAGCAGGTAAGGTGTCAAGCGGCCCGGAAGAGGGCGGGTACCCGGATCGTGCGGGAACCTTGCATCCGGCATGCTGCGCGGTAGAACAGGCGCGGCTGCCGTAAACCCAAGGCATCTGGGAGTTGTAGTTTGGAGAGGGCTCGCCGAAGCTGCGGCTGTGTGCCGGCCCTGCAGGAGATGAGCTTTTGTTGAGTGTTCGTAGGGTCTTTGTGTGCCGTTTCCAGCCCCCAGGACCGTGTACTTCATACCGTGTGCGCTGTCGCCCAGAGGCAGTTGCAGGGCAGGCCGAAAAGAGAGCCTGCCGTGAGTCTCCCTCCACCCTGGAGCATTCTGCACGTTGCGTGGAACACTGCTGCCACTCTGCCTAGTTCTGATGGTGTCTAAGAACTGTTCAAGGCTCACCATCTGGTTGCATTAAGCCTTGAGCATAGCCCGTCCACTCTCTTTTCCTCAGCCTCCTCACTGTCCACGGAACCGCGAAGTCCACCTCTCCCAGGAGAACATCTCTCTGTCTTATTCTATAGTTTGCAATGAACATACCGTGTGTGACAAGCCTTTTGTTGGGCTTCAGACCCGGGACAAACAGCTAAGGTGTCTTTTGAACCAAGGCGGACCTGACCTCCAAGTTCTCCCAGCACCCCCGCTGCTGACTGTAGCCGGCATACCCTGCTCTCTACCCTGAACTCTCCAGTCCAGGGGCTCGTTACTATATAATCCAGACATTTTAGGTCTCCCCTCCTTCTTTCTGCGTGGTTTTTTTTTTTTTTTCTGTCTCTCTTCTCTCTCTCCCCCTCTCTGCGTGCGAACCTTCCGTCTCCCCCTGCATGGTGACTTCTCTGGTCCCGTTCTTTGGGACCAGTGAGCCCGCCAAGAGCTGCTCCCAATACACCTGCATTTATATACTTTAACTTGCCTTGAATTAGCTCATCTCGTTTCTTGTCACCTTTTATAAAATCTATGGTGCCAGGCAAATTGTGACTTTGAATAGATCCTTGTGGATTCTGTCTGCCCAACAGTTCTTGTCTAGCCAAGTCTCCAGTAAGCTATGGCTACTTTTCGAGCTGCTAGGGCCTTTCCCCAGATCCACAATGACAACAGGAAATGACCACAGTGCATGGGGAAATGTCTTCAAGGCCAGGCAGTGTGGTTTGACATTCTGTATGTGTATGTATGGGGGGGGGGGGGGGACACAGAGACCTTAGGCACCTTTGCCTAAAGTTGGCACAGCGTTGATGTGATGTGTGACACCCCTTGAGCCCGATGTTGCCTGTCACAGAACTAGGAATGGCTGGAGTAGGTAGCTAGACGATGCTGATACCGTCTTTATAGGGCTTTCCAGGGATCACTGTGCTGAGTCCAGTTTGAACCAAGGCCATTGGGAGATCTTTGTTATCAGAGGCCCTTGTCAAGAACTGGGTCAGGGTATAGCACAGTGGATAAAGTATGTCAAACCAGGCCTGGTGGCCCACGTCTTTTAATTTCAGAGAAACCCTGTCAGGAAAAAACAAAAAGAAAAGAAGCTATGTCCAAGCCAGGCAAGAGGGCACCTGTAATCCCAGCACTGAAGAGATGGGATCCCTGGGGCGGGCTGACAGGCTACGTTAGCTGAAATTGGCCAGTCACTGATAAACACAGTGGAAAGCAGCTGAAGAAGATATGACTTATTTTTAATTTTGCATGCTCCTGTATATGCATATGGGTGAAGGTGTCTGAAGAGGTGAGAGGTATTGCTGCATCTGGAGCTAGAGTTATAGGCAGCTGTGAGCTGCCTGATGCTGGTGTGGGGAACCAAACATAGTCCCCTGCAAGAGCAGCATATACCCATAACTTGTAAGTCATCTCTCCAGTTCTTCAGCTCTTGGTCTTCCTGTGTGTGTGCTCCCACACACGAAGTTGCATGCACTGGTGTGGGTGCGGGGTCAGTCCTCTTTGTTCTGAGTCTGCGTTCACTGAGTACACTCGCTGGCTCACCAGCTTGCAGACACCCTGTCTCTGCTTCCTGTGTCTCCGTAGAAGCTGTGAGCTTACAGATGCTCACTACTGGGTCTGACCTCCCTCAAGTTCTGGGAATTCAAACTCAGGTCCTCGTTATTTCACAGGGAGTGTTTTACCCTCTGAGCCATCTCCTCAGCTCTGATGTTTATTCATTATTGAGTTAATTTAGTATATATAACGTTAACAAATGGCTGTGCAAGTGTAGAAATGTACAAAACTGACTTAATTTCTTTGCTGGGGCTCACCTCTTCACAGGGGGTCTAATTCACCATATGTTCTTCTTAACTTTCAGGGGAAACTAACTCTACTCTGTGATGCCAAGACAGATGGCAGCTTTCTTGTGCATCATTTCCTTTCTTTCTACCTCAAAGGTATGTAACTCCCTGATGCTATAGAAAAGGAAACCCAGGTCTGGAGAGATGGCTCAGTGGTTAAGAGCGCTGGCTACAAGCTACACACCTTTAATTCCAGCACTCAGGGAGGCAGAGGCAGGCAGATCGATGTGAGTTTCAGGCCAGTCTGGTCTATAAAGTAAGTCCAGGACAGCCAGGACTACACAGAGAAACCCTATCTTGAAAAAAACCAAAAAACAAACAAACAAAAAGAGCACTGGCTACTCTCCCAGAGGATTTAGGTTTAATTTCCAGCACATGTGGCTGACAACCATCTGTAACTTCAAATTAAAACAGAAATAAGTAATTTAGCAGGCATGGTGCTAAATTTTATTCCCAGCACTTGGGAGGCATAGGCAGGTGGATCTTTGAATTCAAGGCCATCGTGATCTACAAAACCAGTTCCAGGATAGCCAGGGCTACACAGAGAAACCCTGTCTTGGGAAAACAAAAACACAAACAAATTAACAAACAAAAACAAGAAAAGGAAACTAACAACTAAGAAAATTGAGAAGAAAACCCTAAGAAAGCAATGGGAAGAGCATTGACTTGCGTTGGCTTTGGTGTTTGGATAATCAGTAAACTATTCTATTAGGTAACAGGTCATCTATTATATAACAGGTTATTGGAGCATCATTACACCCTGCCAAAGAAATGGCATGTGCCCATCAGATCTACTTTCCTTCTCCATCCACTGTGTAGTAGCCACAACTTCCTCTGAGGTGGCGTCCTGACTCAGGTGTTTCTTGGTTCTGTGTTTAAGTCTCAGTCCTCCCCAGCCACATTGACATTTGTCATTGCATTAACTGCTTCCTAAAGAATATGGTCACTGTTGTTTACATTCGGAAATACATTAGGAAAGTCTCTCCCTCCATTTTTTGGTGGTGCTATTAATGCGAGAGTATCCTGTAGCCCATGCTATCCTTGAACTTGCTATGTAGCTGAGGATGATCCAGAATTTCAGCTCCTCCTTTCTCCAACTCTCAAGTCCTTGAAATACAGGTGTGTGCCATGGGTCCTGGTTTTATTCAGTGCTGGGGATCCAACTCAGTGCTTCTTGAATACAGGTCAGGGTTTTGTCATCTTAGCTACATCTCCAGCACAGGACTCAGTCTTCGTTGGATTCTCCTTGAGGATGCATTCCACCAACCACGATAATGAGGTAGACGTTTGGCATGCCTCATTGTAGTAATTTACAGCTTTGAAGTCATTTTTTTTTTCAAATGATGTGATTTTTCAATGTAGAAAAGCAAAGTAATCTATGATAAATTATTTGAATGAGTAAGGCTCAGTTAAGTAGCTGTGGTTTCTTGAAGTTTAATTCTAGTTCTTATAAGACTTTATCAGTTGTATTCCTGTATCTAAACGGTTAACACAAAAAAAGTTATAAAAGAGACATGATTTACAACAGAACAAAATTAAGTACCTAGGAGTTGCAGAGGTAGTGCATTTGGTAAAATCCTGCTGTGCAAGCATGAGGACCTGAGTTCAGATCTTCGGCACTTCCAGAAAAGCCAGATGTGGTACAGATCTGTAGCCACAGCAAGAGGAGAGGGGAGGAGTTGTGGAGATTCCTGGAAGCTTGGTGGCCAGCCAGCCTAGCCAGTGAGCCCCAGCTTCAGTGAAGACCCTGTTTCCAGAAATAAGACGGAAAACAATAGAGCATGACACCCGATCTTGGCCCCAGCACACAGGCACAGTGGTACAGGCATGAAGACACATGCTCACGCATGTGCACATGCACACAGAATGCTTACAGGGAGATAGCTCAGTTGGTAAAAAGCACTGTCTGCACTAACCTAGAGACCTGAGGTCAATCCCCAGGACTTACATGGTGGAAGTGAAGAACTCGCAGAGGTTGTCATCCATTTACACTGTGGTACATACGCACAGTCCTTCTTCACCCCAGACAGATAAATAGATAGATAGGTAGATGATAGATAGATAGATAAACAGACAGGCAGATGGACAGACAGATAGATAAGTAAATGCAATAACCAAAAAAAGAGATGGAGATGTAACTTAGTAGATCTGGGTTTAATATCCAGTACTAGGAAACAAAATGGAAAAAGTACATTTGGCTTCTAAGATGGCTCAGTGGTTAAAAGCACTGTCACACAAGCGTGGCAACCTGAGTTCAATGTTTGGAACCTGTGTGAATGTGGAAGAAGAGAACCAACTCCACAGACTTGATCCCTGTGTAGATGGTTATGAACCACCATGTGGTTGCTGGGAATTGAACTCAGGACCTCTAGAAGAGCAGACGGTGCTCTTAACCACTGAGCCATCTCTCCAGCCCCCTTGGTCTCTGATTTCTATATATTGACATCATGTATACACACAATAATAATTTTTTAAATGTGTCTTAGGGGCTTGGAGTTGTAGCTCAGTTTGTAGAGTGCTTGCCCAGGGTTGATTTCCAGCACCATGTAAGCCCAAGTATGGGAGCTCATGATGGTAATCTTGGCACTCAGGAGTTAGAAGCTGGAGGAGTAAGAGTTCAAGGTCAGCAGGTGTTAGTTGCATAAGCCCTTAGTCCCAGTATTCAGGAGGCAGAGGCAGGCAGATTTCTGAGTTCCAGGCCAGTCTGGTCTACAAAGTGAGTTCCCGGAGAGCCAGGGCTACACAGAGAAACCCTTTCTCAAAACAAGACAAACAAACAAATAAGAGTTCAAGGTCATCCTGGGCTATATAGGGAGCTAAAGACCAGTATGTGTCACATGAGATCCTATCTCAAAATAAAGAGAGGGCAGGGGTGCCTCTTAGCCTGAAATTAAGCACAAGTATATCATAGTTCCAGGCCTCTGGGTATTGTCTGGACCTACTGCACTGCTCCTGTTTCCAGAGGAATGAAGTATTTGTGTCTGGTTGTAAGCAGAGGATTTTTTGTTTTCTAGCTAATTGTAAAGTCTGCTTTGTGGCACTAGTCCAGTCCTTCAGCCACTACAATATTGTGGGACAGAAGCTGGTGAGTACCCCTGTGGTGACATCCCTTCCAACGAGCATGTGTCGTGCATGGCCTGGTACGGGGGTTTCGCTCTTTCTTTGTTGTTTTGATTTTTTTCTAGGCATGTTTTCTCTGTGTAATCTTGGCTGTCCTGGAATGGGCTCTGTAGACTTTAACCCCAGCACAGGTAGGTCTCTGTGAGTTCAAGACCAGTTTCGTCTGGATAGTGAGTTCTAGGACAGCCAGGGCTGAGTTGTGAGACACTGTCTCAAAAGCAAAACCAAAAAAACAGCAACAAACAAATGAAAGAAAAGGTATCTCACCTAGCAGGCACCCATCCTTAGTTAGCACTCAGGAGGTAGAGGCAGGAGAACAAAAGTTCAGGGTTGGGACTGCAGAGGTGGCTCAGTGGTTAAGAGTACCTAGTGCTAGCCTGGTGCACACCTTGAATCCCAGCACCTGGAGGTAGAGGCAGTGGGAACTCTGTGAGTTCAAGGCCAGCCTAGTCTACAAAGTGAGTCCAGGACAGCCAGGGTTACACAGAGAAACTTTGTCTTGAAAAACAAAACAAAAAACTAACAAAAAAGTTTTTGGGGCTGGAGAGATAGATGGCTCAGTTGTTAAGAGCACTGTCTGCTCTGCTCTTCCAAAGGACCCGGGTTCAATTCCCATCACCCACATGGCAGTTCACAACTGTCTGTAATGCCAATTTCAAGGGATCTGACACCTTCACACTAAATGCACATAAAATAAAAATTAAATAAATTATTAAAAAACCAGTCATTGGAAAAGAGTACTTAGAGGATCTGAGTTAGCTCCCTGGCAGGGAGCTTACATCCTCCTGAGGCAACTGCACACACACACATAATTAAAAAGTAAAAATAATCTCAGCGTTCAGGAAGCAAGGTTGGCAGACCTCTCTCTCTCTGAGTTCAAGACCAGCCTAGTCTGCAAATTGAGTTCCAGGACAGTCAAAGCTACACAGAGAAAAAAAAAGGTCAAGGTTATGCTCTGCTACATTTTGAGTCAAGGCCTGCTGGGGATACCTAAGCCTTGTCACAAACCTCTGAAGGCGGAATGGGAATAGACAGGAATACTTCCTCAGGGTTTGAAATATGTCTTGTGCTGTCTTATTAGTCAGTATATAGTTTCTTTGAAAGGTTCCCCACAGGGCACAGCAATTCATTCTGTTTTTTTGTCACCCTTAGGGTGTCAGCCTGACAGCGGCACGGGAACGCGGGCAGCTTGTGTTCCTGGAGGGCCTCAAGTCCTCTGTGGATATCCTTTTCCATGCTCAGGACAAGGAGCCTCATCCCCTGCAGTTTCTCAGGTCAGAACCTACGTGCTGGTGGGCGGTGCCAGATAAGGGCCGCTGTGTTGTGTGGGAAGGCAGAGGTGACTCCTGGGATCAGACACTTCCCCTGCGTTGCTATGTGTCAGATATCCCTTGGCTGTCATCATGAAGCCGATGGTAGGTGGTACCCAGAGCTATAGAAAGCATCATTAGCTGGGAGTACAGCACAGCGAAATGCTCTCTGATAGTGCCTCAAACCCCTCGTGCGCCCACCTTTGCTCCTTCTTGCCTTCATATAGAAGCTAAGGGTCATGGGCCAGTGACCTGTTTTTGCAAATATGATTTTATTGGAACTGTATTTGTTTATTAGCTTATTGTCCCTTGTTGTTTGGCTTTATAGCGACAGACTGGTAGAAAAATTACCTGTAAGCCTAAATCTCTCTCTCTCTTTCTCTCTCTCTTTTTTTTTTTTTTTTTTTTTGAAACAGGGTTTCTCTGTGTAACAGCTCTGTCTGTCCTGGAATTCACTCTCTAGACCTGGCTGGCCTCGAACTCACAAAGATTCACCTGTCTCTGACTCTTGAGTGCTGGGATTAAAGGCTTGTGCCACCAACACTCACTTTTTAAAAAGCTTTTCTCATATTCTTTTTTTTTGTTTTGTTTTTAAGATTTATTTATTTTGTGTATGTGTGCTCTGTTTGCATGCATACCTGCATGCTAGAAAAGGGCATCAGATTACATTATAGATGGTTGTATACATCAGATGTAACTACAACAGATGGTTGTAGTTACCATGTGGTTGCTGGGAATTGAACTCAGGACCCCTTAAAGAGTAGGCAGTGCTCTCAACCACTGAGCCATCTCTCCAGCCCTGCCTAAACATCTCTTATGTGACTCTTTAACAACAGCAACAGAAAATTGTTGCCATCTCCTTTTCTTCATCACAGGTCTAGACTGGCTGTGCCCGTCTTCTCAACCCTTCTGAACAACGGCCTCTAACTGGCTGCTATTCCTTCTCTTTCTCAGAGGACACCGTGAAAGAGCTCTCCCCATTGCCCTTCAGATACACCTTCATGCAGTGGCTGGAATGCTATGTGTGTGGGACATATTCCTTAGCACCTGGCATTGCTTTTATCATCTGACTGCAGGGGCTGGTTATACAGGATCCCAGTGTGTGGGGAACTGTTCTTATTAGTGAGGATAGTGAGGATAGCCCTGGTTACCCTGGGTGCTGGGCTCCATTCCTCCTCCCACTGCTGGGAAGTGACAGCTTGCAACATCCCTGGGGAAGATGGGGGTGGGTTGGTGGTATGTGTCAGAAACATGTTGGTTCCTCATTATACCAAAAGCCTGTAGACAACCACCCATCACCAAGACACTTGAATTGCTGTTTAACTTCCTCCGGCAGCTCAGGGTCTCCTGGGGAGGCCTCTTTGCTTGCCCATTCTGACTTACTCTTCTGGATGCCACAGCTCGTGGATTGGGGCTGTATGGTTCTCTCTTTTTAATTTTATGTCTTTCTTTTGAGACAGTCTCACTGCCCTCCCCAGGCTAGCTTCCAGCTTTCTACTGTCCCACTTCTATAGGTATGAACCGCCATGTCAGATTTTTATACTACCTCTTCAGGACCCTATTTCTTCTGGTTTGTCCATTTTTTGTACCCAGTAGACCTTAGAAAAGACTTGAATTGAAGTACAATCAAATTTATTTGTGTGTGTATGTGTGTTTATTTTCTTTTCCAGCTTGCCAAAGACTATTATGCAGCCTTCTCCTCCCTTCCTTGATGCCACTTTGTCCCATATAAACATTTGTAGAGCTGGGCCTGGTGATACATGTCCATAATGCTAGCCCTTGGGAGGTAGACACTAGGATAATGAATTCCGGGTCACTTCTGAAGCATCCCTCTATGAAAAGAAGAGAAGAGCTGGGGCTCTAGCTCAGTTGATAGTTTGCCTAGTGTGCGTGAAGCCTTGCGTTGGACCTGGCACAGACCAGGTGTCGTGCATGGTAGAAAGCACTTAGGATGTGGAAGCAGTAGGGTCAGAAAATCAAGGTCACCCTTGGCTACATAGTGAGCTCGAGGCCAGCCTGGGATTCTCGAGACACTGTCTCAAAATAAAATAAAACAACCCCATGACATTTGTAGAGTGTGACTGAAAAAAATCTCTGACGACTTTCTCCTGTGTTTCTAGGGACGCCAGGGCAGGGAACCTACAGTCGCTGTATGAGTTTGTACAGGACACCCTGACGCCTGCGGACAGTGGGGACACTCCATGGAAGTACCCCGTGCTGTTGGTGGACAACCTCAGTGTGCTGCTGAGCCTGGGCGTGGGGGCAGTTGCCGTGCTGGACTTCATGCAGTACTGCAGGGCCACGGTGTGCCGCAAGCTGAAGGTACCGGGAGACAGAGTCAGTGCCCTGCTGTGCTCCCTGAGAGCCTGCGCCTGTGTGTTGTGCTTTCTTTGTCCGTCTGCTTTGAGTTTAGCTTTCCTCTAGTAGACCAGAAAGTCTTTGTCCTGCCCATCCTACTTCCCCCACGTGGCACTGCTAAATAATAAGCCTCTCAAAATTACTGTGTGACCGTGAAGTATTCTCTGCCTGTGTGCCCAGTGGGTCCCTCTTTAGTGAGCTTTGAATATCAGCTGAAAGAATGGCTCATAACTGCTTTGTGTTTTCTTCCCTCATGGCGAAAGTCCTGGGGATTGAACACAGAACCTTTCACTGAACCTTTTTAAAAAAAATGGTAACGTAGGGCTGGCTAGGATGTAGCTCAGTTGCTAACATACTTAAGTAGCATGCATGAAACCGAAGGTTTGATATCCAGCACTATATAAACTGGGTATGGTGGTGTATGACTGTACTCTCTGCATTTGGGAGGCAGAGGCAGGAGGGTCAGAAGTTCAAGGTCAGCTTCAGCTACATAGTGAGTCCAGGCCAACCTGTGATACATAAAATTCCAGCAGGTAACCTACAGCTGTACAGTACATGATATCACGTGTCTATAACCCAGGACTTGGGACGTTGTGGGAGAAGGGTTGTGAATTTTAGGCCAGGTAACAGTGCTTACTGCAGAAGCCTAATGACTTGAGTTTGAGCCCCAGAACCCACATAAACATGAAAGGAAAGAAAAGAACACACTTCACAAAATTGTCCTCTGACCTCCACACTTGCACTGTGTGCGTGTGCCAGCACCCTTCACATCCGCCTACATAAGCTAATAAAAAAAAAAGGCAAGAAGAAAATAAAACAAATGAGTGAGAGGCCGAACATGACAGCATTATGTTTATAATCCTCAAACTTCGGCCAGCCTGGACCACATAGTTCCAGGTCAGCCAGGACTGTGTAGCAAGACCATGTCTCAAAGAACAGAAAGACCTTGAGTGAAGTGAAGCTTGGTGTCTGCCCACAGTGGCCACTGTTCACTGGGTGATGACACAAGCTATAGGAACTCGTTAGTGAGCATTGTGTGGAGAGAGAGGCCAGACTCAGGGTGCAGAACAGTGAGAGAAGTGAAATGAATTAGCAGGGGTGTTACCAAAGCTGTGTTCAAGGGACTGCTGTGACTGTCTTGGCTACAGTTACAGGGCCAGGATCCAGTGACACAGAGAGGGAGGGAGAGACAGACAGACAGAGACAGACAGTGTTGAGAGCCATCATGGAAGGAAGAAAGGGCAAGGGGCTTGGAGACCATTTATTTGACGAGACTAGCTGCCCCCCTGAGCGCCAGGGCCCCCATCTTCACAACGCTCCAGAGTGCCACAGGGTTACTTGTGCACTGCTGTGTCTGGCTTTTGAGGCAGGGCTTCATGCACTCCAGGCAGGGTGACCTTGAACTTGCTTTGTAGCTAACCTTGTACTTCTGATCTTCCTCTGCCTTCCAAGTACTGGAGTCCCGGATGTGTGCACTACACTGACTTCACATCCGCCCTTTTGTTTTTTTAATATTTTCTTATCTGTCTTTATGTCTATTTATTTGGCTTTTTAAAAGACTTACTTGTTTATTTATTATTTATACAGCAGGCAAGAAGAGGACACCAGATCTCATTATGGATGGTTGTGAGCCACCATGTGGGTGCTGGGAATTGAACTCAGGACCTTTAGAAGAGCAGCCAGTGTTCTTAAACTCTGAGCCATCTCTCTAGCCCTTATTTGGCCTTTTTTGGGACAGTTTCTTTGTGTACCTATAGCTGTCCTGGAACTTGCTTGGTAGACCAGGCTCACAGAGATCCAGAGATCTCTTGAACTCACAGAGAGCCAGCTGCCTTTGCCTCTTGAGTGCTGAGATTATATGGACTGATTGTTTTAATTTTCTGGTTATGTGTGTGTCTGTGTAGGTATGTGCGTGTGCATGCAGTATAGGGGAGCTGGATCCCTGCAGCTGGAGTGGCTGCAGTTGTGAGCTGCCTGACGTGGGTGCAGGGAACTAACCCTGGGGCCCACGCAGGAGCAGTTATTAGCTATTAACTGCTGAACCATCTCTAGTCCTCAGATCTCTTTGTTTTGTTTCATTTTTTTGGCTTTTCAAAACAGAGTTCCTGGGTGTGTAGCCTCAAACTCACAGAGATCCACCTGCCTCCGGAGTGCTGGGATTAAAGGCATGTCTTCACCACCATCCCTGGCTGATTTTTGTTGTTTTAAAGACCTGTCTGTCCGTCCGTTCGTCCGTTCGTCCGCCCATCCATCCATCCATCCATCCATCCATCCATCCATCCATCCATCCATCCATCTATCTATCTATCCATCCATCTATCTATCTATCTATCTATCTATCTATCTATCTATCTATCTATC